TTGGCTAGAAAGGCCCTCCGAGGTGGTTATTATTGGCCAACTATAGAGGCAGACTCAAAAAATCATGTCAAGAGATGTGACAGTTGCCAGAAACATGCCAAACTAATTCTTTCACCACCTGAAGAACTGAAATATATCTCGGCTCCATGGCCTTTTTTCAAATGGGGAATGGATTTGCTGGAACCCTTCAAAGCTACTAAAGGACAATTAAAGTGGTTGGTTGTAGCTGTGGATTACTTCACAAAATGGATAGAAGCAGAACCAGTCACCACAATCACCTCGGCTAGAGTACAAAGATTCTTTGAACGAAACATTGTCTCTAGATTTGGAATACCGGCCGAGTTGGTAACTGATAATGGAACTCAATTTGTAGATAAAAGGTTCCAACAATTGATAAAAGACTTACAAGGCAAACATCACTTTGCATCTGTGGAGCATCCACAGTCAAATGGGCAAGCTGAAGCAGCAAACAAAGTAATTGTGGACGGTCTTAAAAATAAAAAAAAAATCTGCATTTTTGTTTCCGGGCACAAAATGAGAAACACTTGTCTCTCTCAATCACTCTCCACCGCTACCATCATCATTACCACCACTATCATCTCGACACGACCACCGCTGTCGTCGTTGTACCACCAGTGCCGTAGTCGCCACCACCACCTCCATGATGCCACTGCCATCATCACCACCACCATCATCTTGACACGACTACCGCTATCATCAATGTTGTTGTCGTCGTACCACCAGTGCCATCGTCACCACCACCACCTCCACCACGACGATGCCACCTCCATCCATCGCCACCATCAATACCACCATGCCAATGTCACCACCCCCACCACTGTCACCAATCATCACTACCATCGTCACAGCCACTGTCGTCACCACTACCACCACTACCATCACCACGCCATTATCATTGTCACCAACCACCACTTCCGTCGTCGCAGCCACAGCCGTCATCATCGCCACACCACTGCTATCATCACCACCACCATAGCTGCAGCCACTGCCGTCACCACCACCACCATGCCATCACCACCGCCGCCGCCGCTACCACCATCATCGCCATCATTACCACCACAATATTGTTACTGTCGCCGCCGCCGCCACCACCACCACACCATATGAAAAGGAAAGTGATGATCCTAAATTTTTTTATACTTAACAAGAATTATTTTTTATTATATTATTTGTTGTGTTATCAAACACAATTCTCGTTCTCGGAATAAAAATAGAACATATTATCAAACACATTTTTTTTCTCAGAAACTGTTTGAAGGCATAGAAATAGAAAATAATTGTTTCTTTTCAGAAACACTGCCAGGGAACAGAATGGTTGTCATGCACACCCTAAATGACCACATTTGAATTAGAGGATGTTATATTTATTATATTATCCTATCCAGTTCTAACCTAAGGCCCGTCATGATAACTTATCGTGTCGTGGATATAATAAAATGAACCAACATGATATAGGTTCATTTTTTCTAAATTTATTTTAGAAAAATTTATCTAATGTTCAGCAAAACGACGTCGTTTTGGAACGAAAATCATGATATGTTTGTAATTTTAATTATTCTAGAGTTATAATAGTCTTTATCATTCTAATTTTTTAATAAAAAAATTCCAAAACTACGTCGTTTTAGTGAACATTAGACAAATTTTTCTAAAGTAACTTTAGAAACTTTATTCCCTAAATTTATTATATCTTATTGATTCACCAAACAATAAATAAAAGTATCATATCAAAGTCTATCATATTTTATTATCTCTAGTATGATCATCAAACGAGTCCTAAACATATCCTAATCAATAAGGTTATTTAAAGTTAAGTTTTTGTAAAATATTATTTATAATCTTTATATTATATTTTCATTCATATAATCTTCCAATAAATTTACATTAAAGAATCAATTTCTTTGAGGATGCGATCGTCAGACAACCTCATGAGTCATGACAATTTCCAACCCATCGTGATTATCAATGATATTTGATACATCTCAAACCTAATTAAGGGCCCTCCACATAATAACTAGGAATTACTCTGATTATCATAAAATAATGTTTCTTAGTTATGACAAGACGAGCCATGACTCTCACAATTTTTTTGAAAACCCTTAAATAAAATATATATATATATATATATATATATATATATATATATATATATATATATATATATATATATATATATATATATATATATATAAGCATGCACTTGTTTTGTTTGATGAAAAGGATATTTTGCTAGGTTATTCTTCTTTTATTTTTTGAAGGTAGTGGTTATTCTCTTTTCGGTGGAGCTTGCGGTATATAGTGGAAATTCTCTCTTCTTTCAAGCAGTTAACTCGAGGTAATGAAAATTACTTTCTTAATTATCATCCCCACTCCCCAGTGTGTATATTCTCTTTTGAAGAGTTATAAAGCAAGCAGGTTTCTCTTCTTATTGGTGTTTGTTCCTAACTGTTTCTGAATTCTAGGGAGCGTTTCATGATCTATAATTTCATATTGCATTTATCTGTGAAGAAAATGCACCCCTTCGCTTTGGCTTGGGTCGACTATTGGAGGAGTAAGTGAAGTGAAAAATACTTTCGATATTCTCGTATTACTTAATACTGCATCACTTATTATAGTTAGAAAATAATTACATTTTTTTGTTCCTTTATTTTTATTTTTATTTTACAAATAAAAGTTTAAGTGAGGTTAGACACCAGTATCCCACTAGGATCAGGAAAGACCCCCCAACCTCTTTGAGAATTTCTGGAAAGGATTACATATCACCCACCAACGAAGTCCTCACATCGACCAGCGAGGTTGAACCCACGCCCTCGAAGAATATGGACCAAACCCTTAGCCAACTGTACCCACCAACAAAATCCTTTATTTTAATTTTAGTAAAAGAAGCACTTACTATGAAATTACTTAAAATTTGCTCGGTGAAGTGGATCTACAGTGTGAGCAAAGTTAGTATGCTCCGGGACTAAAAAAAATCTGATGCTATTGAGATGAGAAAAAGAAAAAAAAAAGTTGAGGAAGGAGAAAAGAGAAGAAGGAAGAATTTTTTTTTTTGATTCAGATGTCAAGTTTTTAGTGGAAAGACCATAATAATCCTGGGCCATATTAAAAATTTTCCTACGATGGAATCCTCGCTAGCGTGATGTTCTTTGTTAGTGGAGAAGAAAGAAAACATGGGAAAAAAGGAGGATGGGTATTTTTGCAAAAAATCTATAAACTTTGGGAACCAACAAGTAATAAATCATTATATTAAGATTTAAAAGTAAATAAGAGGAAAGTGGATTGACCTGTGATAGCAAGTCATTTTAAGTGGTACTCTGATATACCATTTCCTGAGTGGTTCACCATAAATCTCACCTAACAGAAGTAAAAACCCCAAATGAGGGTAATTAAAACCTTTGGTACATTAAAACCTGCGGGGACCCAGCAGGTTTGATATACAATCTTATGAGGGTCATTCAGTATCATAATTTGGTATTTGATATACAATCTTATGGGTGCTCGAGGGGACGAGAGTATCACTCGATTAAAAAAAATATGTGAGTAACGTGGGAGGTTCACCTGTTAGATCCCGACACTAAATGACTTTTATTTATAAATAATGTGAATCAAATATCAGATTAAAAAATTAATAAGGTAAAAATTCCAAATGGGTCAAAGAGCTTGAAAAAATCCTCCATTTTTTTTCTGGCAAAATGTGTTTGATTAGTTTGTTCCAACAGGTAAAATCGTAAAAGAAACGTGTCTTTTGAAAAATATTTATGTATAAGATATGGAATATCATGTCTTTTTTCACATTAATCTAATAGGAAAAGATATTGTAACAATCAATCAGTGTTACTATCAATATTACTATCAATCAATCTCATCATTAGATTGATTACGTTGATCCAACAATTATATTTATTTCTATTTTTGTATGGTTGTGATTCTTCAAATTTAATATTTTATATTTATTTTCAGCTTTATATGATTATAATTTTTCATATTTAATGATTTCACAATAAATATAAGGAATTATAATCATACAAAGATGGAAATAAATATAACCGTTAGATCAACATAATTGATCTAACGATGAAATTAATTGGTAGTAACATTTGTAGTAACACTAATTAATTGTCACTACAATGAACCATTAGAGTTTAGATTATAATATTAATTAATGGTGAATATTTTCCGAGAAAAAATTTCTTTTACCTTTTAGTCGCTCTATCACCTTCTCCTTTTTTCACTTCTCTCAACATCACTCTACAATGAACCATCAAAAAGCACAAACAACAGTACTTTTATATCTGGATTCGTTCAATTGTGCAGAGAAAATTGAAAAATTGAGGTCAGAGAGTTTCAGATCTTCATGTGAAATGACCAACCCAGAATTTATTGGATTTTAGAGTATTGATTCATTGTTGTTAAAAACTTCTTGAACGAAAAAAAAAAAACTAAAATCTTTTTGACCGGAAAGATTGAAGAAAGGAAGAGATAGAAAGGGCGAAGGTAACGAGAGAGACAAAGAGGTAAAAGAGTTTGTTTATTTCCATGATCTGATATGGGCATCATCTAATATATGACTATATCATGTTATACGAGAAACATCAAACTCCTATTCTAGTGATACAAAGATAAATAGGTTGACAATATTTTAATTTTAAATTAAGATTATTTTACATCAATATAAATTATATTCTTAATCTTATTAATTCTACTTATATCTACTAGTTTTAATTTATTAAATATATGAGCCAAATAGATGGAAACAAATACACCACCAAGATTTGAGCAGTACATTTTGAGTAAATATAGAAACGGTAGCATAAGGAGATAAGATGGCATGGCAACGTCTCATGGAGACAACGGAATTAAAATTGATAGAGATTGCAATCATTATTTGTATCAACATTCAACTACCTCATTTACAACTGTAACTCTTTTATTTTTCCTATAAAACTCAACTTTGTTCTTCCCTCTTACATTACTTCTAAGTTCCAAGTTCCACCACCATTGTTTGCACTAGCTTCGACCCTGCTTTCTATGCGCAGTACACAAGCACAGGTAGGAGACAGCCAGGTATAATACCCTTTACCCAGAAATTCACTAGCATAGTACATTTGTGGCTTTTAATGTGATCTCAAGTTTGACTTATATCCTTATGATTGAGTTGATTTTAATATCATTCTTGTCTTGTGCAAAACCACTCTAACCTTAACCTTCATGTTCCTGGGGACTCGGAACCATGTTTTCAGTACTTGTTTTTCAATATATATGACATGTAAATTAGCTACTATATAATGCCAGCTCTATGTGACAAGTCATACTTTATCTTTGTCTTTATCATTTTAAGCAAATTAAGAAAAAAAATCAACTTTGGAATTGACTTTAATTCATGAATTTTCAATTCCCGTCACTGACAGCAAAGCATACACAGATATTAACTGGTTGGGTTGGAGGAAATAAAAGAGAGTTAGTGCTTTTTTTTCTTCGCAAGTGCTTGGAGGTTGATGCTTGCTTGTGTCTTGTTCAGGTTTTGTAACAAAGGAAAATGAAGGCCTTTGCTGCTAAGGTCGAGGAAGGAAGGGAAGGTAAAAATGGCATGCCATCTGTTGGTCCAGTATACCGTAACCTCCTCTCCAAAAATGAATTTCCTCCAATGGATCCTGATTTCAGCACCGCTTGGGATATTTTCAGGTAATTTCACTGCCTATAATAATTAACGTTCTCCCTTGTCAGATTATGTAATTTCTAGACAAATTCGGTAGTTGCTAGTATACAATCATCAACATCAACAACACTTTTATCCCAAATTAATTGGGGTCGGTGGTAGATGAACCCACATGAAAGATACAAAACGATTGAAAAAAAATAAAAAAGCAAAAAAAATAAAAAAATAAAAAATAAAAAATAAAATAAAAATATATGTATATATAAATAAAAGTAAAAAAGAAAGGGACAAGAAGAAACTGGGGAAATGAAGGGAAAAAGACTAAAAATTGACCATCTGGAACATAGGAATAACAGCGGGTCTAACCCTCCACCGTACTTATACTGCATTCCTTGAATTCGAACGGTAGTAAGTTGCTAGTATACAATACTCATATTAAATGTTTGGATTGGAACCATTGCTAGTTGGTAGAGAAAACTAATGGACTATAATGGTATAATCTAAATGATATTAATGGAGAGATAGCTGAAACTTGAAAGTTTGGTGGTTGATCAATGAATGATATTTTCAGAATGACCTTTCTTTGATGATTGCAGTGTGTCGGTCAAAAATCATCCTCGAAACCGGATGCTGGGATGGCGTAAAATTGTTGATGGAAAGGTAATTTATGGAAAATCATTTTATTATGTAACTTACTACTTGTCAAGAAGATAAGGTAATTGGCTTTTGGTTCATGTTCATAGATAGGACCATATGTTTGGAAAACATATAAGGAAGTTTATGATGAAGTTCTACATGTTGGTTCTGCTTTACGAGCATCTGGTGCTGAACCGGTATGTGCTTACAAAAGGGGTTCCCTCATCGTTTGTACATACAGTAGATTAGTAATCTTCAAAGGGAAAATAATCTTCTTTTAATGTTTATTGTGGTCATCTTATGACAGGGCTCTCGAATTGGAGTTTATGGAGCTAATTGCCCTCAATGGATTGTGGCAATGGAGGTTTGGCACTTCTGTGTTCTCAAAGTTTTCTATATTATTCCTTCTATTATGATATCATAATTCATAATCATGTTTATATTGGTGAAGGCTTGTTCGGCGCACAGCTTTGTTTGTGTCCCTCTCTATGACACCCTCGGTAAGTTTTTTTTCTGCAATGAACATTCACTTCTTTCTTTCTCTGCAATTTGGAAATTTAATTAATTACTTTTCTGTACTCAATGAAAGCAAAATTCAAATTTCAAGTCTTCCTTTTTAAATGCAGGGCCTGGTGCTGTAAATTATATCATAGATCATGCAGAGGTAGATTTTGTTTTCGTACAAGATAAGAAGGTCAAAGAGGTAAGGAATAAGGATCACTTTCTTGAGAATAAATAATGTTCAATTCCAAACTAGTTTGTATATCAGAGATTCAGAACCGCTATTATAGGTTCTGACTGAGTCCATTTACCGTTTGCAGGTTTTGAATCCTGATTGTAAATCCTCTAAGAGACTGAAAGGTGAATTTACTTATATCAAATTTCAATATTGCTGTGCTACATCTAACATAAGCATTGAAATGAGTTTGGTTATGGTTACAGCCATCGTGTGCTTCACTTCATTAACAGAGAAAGAGAGAGATAAGGCCTCCACGATTGGAATTAAGCCATATTCGTGGGAAGAGTTCTTGCAAATGGTTGGTGCTACTGCTGTTCTCTGCAGTTGAATTCCTCATAGTTATCCCTCTAATTCTGGTTAAGACGAACAACTTATTATTTACAGGGAAAAGAATACCCATCAAGTATTTTTCCACCTCAGTCTCATGATATCTGCACTATAATGTACACAAGTGGGACAAGTGGAGACCCAAAAGGTGTTGTTTTATCCCATGAAAACTTAGTAGCTTTAGTAAGAGGACTTGATCTTTTCTTGGATCAATTTGAAGACAAGGTAAATAAATTGATGCTTGATCCACTGGCAAATTTTTATGATACCATTTTTCATATATAGCTTATCTGATAAATGTATTTTACTTTGCATAGATGACTGTGGAAGATGTGTATCTATCCTTCCTCCCCTTAGCTCATATCCTTGATCGCACAATTGAGGAGTATTTTTTCCGTAATGGTGCATCTGTAGGCTACTATCATGGGGTACGTTGGTCCACGAGTCCCTTGTTAGCTTTACAATTAAATCTTAATAATAAATTACGAAATATTTTAAATTAAACGGAAGATAGAAATACACACTTATTCACTTTAAAATTAAACTCACTTAAAATAAAAAAATAAAAAGTAAGAAGATAAAAACCTTATCCTTAAATATTAATGGTGTCCCGCTGAGTTATGAAGCACCGCTGACACGGAATTTTTTTTTTTTTTTTTATATGTTTTCGACACACGGGATGTTGATACATTTTCAATACATCTATCCAATACGTTGGAAAAAAAAATTCTGAGTATCGGTGCTTCGTAGCCGGGGAGTGTCGTGGTACATACCATGACCAAGACAACATGGTCTTGGAAGTGGTATATGCAGGGGAAAAATGGTAAAGTATATGTTTCATATGTCTGAATAAGTACATGAACTTCCAGAACCGTATTTTCCCTTGTCCTACAAATTATTGAATGCTTCATTATTCATAATACATGTTTCACTGTGATTCCTGGAACCATTTGTATGAAGGATCTGAATGCTTTGAGGGACGATTTAATGGAGTTAAAGCCGACACTATTTGCTGGGGTCCCACGGGTTTTTGAAAAAGTTTATGAAGGCAAGGTTACACGCCAACAGAAAATTTATTGTTTATTTGATTTCAGTATAACTCATTCAAGAACATCTTTTTCAGGTATAAAGAAAGCAGTGGAAGAACTCAATCCAGTGAGGAGAACAGTTTTTGGCATGCTCTACAACTAGTAAGTTGGTATTCCAAAATCTATATTTATTGTAATATTTTTGGAAAAAGTAGAATTATTTTTCACTGATTGAGATTATGGATTTTGGCCTGAGGTAGTTTTGCTAATTCTCTCTTTCTTTTTTCTTTCTTTTTTCTTTCTTTTTGATACAGTAAACTTGGTTGGATGAATAAAGGATATAAACAGAGAAATGCATCACGTTTAGCAGATCTATTAGCCTTCAGAAAGGTTATATCTCTTCTTTAGAACTTGTATTTTAAAACCAATAATCTGGTCAGTGGTCACAATCCCCACAGTTAATTATTAGTCATCATATTATGGAAACCTTCAACTGCATCTTAAAATATGGCCAGTTTCTCAATTTTAGCAGTTTATTTTTCTTAAAATTTGACGACTTTTACATATGGTTAAACATTCTCTATTTAGGTCAAAGCTAGGCTAGGTGGGCGTGTTCGACTCATAATATCTGGAGGTGCAGCCTTGAGCCCTGAGATTGAGGAATTCTTGCGTGTCACATGTTGTGCCTTTGTATGCCAAGGCTATGGTAAGTAACTCTTCTTATTATACTATTTAGAAATAAGAATATATGTGAAAAAAATACTGTTAGAACATAACACAATATAATGAGACATGACACTACGGTTAATCCAGGTTTGACTGAAACATGTGGACCAACTACTGTTTGCTTTCCTGATGAAATGTGCATGCTCGGTGCTGCTGGCGCTGTATCTGTATATAATGAAGTGCGGTTGGAGGAGGTTCCAGAGATGGGTTACAATCCTCTTGGAACTCCTCCGTGTGGTGAGATATGTGTTAAAGGGAAAACTGTTTTTACTGGGTACCACAAAAATCCTGAGTTAACAAAGGAGAGCATTACAGATGGATGGTTTCACACAGGTTCAATTGTCATTTCCTGCCTCATACTGAATCTGGTTTTTTTGAATCCTTACATGATCTGATGTGATTTGCGTGGTTGTTTGGCTTTTTGTCCGTACTAGTTTGTTTTTCAAAAAGTTTGACCGGATTAAGCTCTTGGTCAAACTTATTACTAGACTAATATAAAGAGACGTGGCACGTATTGACAAGAGACATGGCACCTGACATGTTACGTCTAAACGTGGTAGTCACAATATCACGTTTAGTGTAACGATAAACACAAACACAATTTCACATGTCACATGGCGAAGTCACATTAAACGCCTTAGACTACCACGTTTAGATGTGGTATGTTAGGTGTCAGTCTCTTGTCCACATCTCTCTGCATTAGTCTGATAATAAGTTTGATCAAGAGCTTAATCTAATTAAACTTTTTGAAAATCGAACTGGTACGGTCAAAAACCCGTCATTGTTTGGTATCCTCAGGGGACATAGGAGAAATGCTTCCTAATGGGGTTCTTAAGATTATTGACAGGAAGAAGAATCTTATTAAACTTTCTCAAGGAGAGTATATAGCTCTTGAGCATCTGGAAAATGTTTATGGAATCACTCCAATAGTTGAAGATGTAAGTATTTTCACGAGTTCAGTACTGTTAATACGTACACTTTTCAGTCCTTAGTTGGTAAGTTTGTGATTTTGCTTTATGTATGTTCTACTTTAAGATCTGGGTCTATGGGAATAGCTTCAAGTCAGTGCTGGTTGCAGTAGTAGTTCCAAATGAGGAAATTACCAATAAGTGGGCATATTCAAATGGTCACATAGCTTCTTTCTCCAAACTCTGTTCTCTTGACCAATTGAAGAAATATGTTCTATCTGAGCTCAAGTCAACTGCTGAGAGAAACAAGGTAACATCTACGGATAATGAAATAATATAGTAAATTGAGTATATTGGATCTTTTTATGTAACTATTTCTGCACCACTGTATATTATATCCAGTTTTAGGTGATTAAAAGATGTTAAAATGAACCTTCATTGCTTTAGATATGAACAAAGAAGCTTAAAATTATATTTTTAGAAAGATTTGTAAACTACGAAGCATAGACGCTAACGATAGAATGAAAACTATAAGATTTTGGTCTTGCAATCTATTAGTACCTTCCTAAAACTATGCTTATACAGATATGTTGTGAACCCATATGAAAGCCCAGTATCATACAGGATAATCCTGCTCAATGCATTGGCACTTTTGTCACAGTTTCCATCATGTAATATATGATTCTCTAATTTTCTTAATTCCTTTTCAATTTTGGACTTTCATAAAACTAGCTGAGGGGCTTTGAAAATATCAAAGGGGTCATATTAGACCCGCATCCATTTGACATGGAAAGAGACTTGGTGACTGCAACACTGAAGAAGAAAAGAAACCACATGCTCAAGTATTATCAGGTAATAGGATATACTTACTTTTTTCTTTATTCTTAATGCAGTCTAAGTAGTTATTATATATATTCCAAGTGCTCACAAAATTGTTGACATTGTAACAGGTGGAAATAGATGAACTATACCGAAGTTTGACCGGAGATAAGCATAAAGCTTGAGATTTCTAGACACGGATAAGCCTGTTTAATAGTCCTCTGTAACAGTTATTCCCGTTCCTAAATTCCCAGCTATAAACTTCTAGTAGCCAGTACTATTTATAGTATGTTGTATGATGTATTATGCAGCACCCAGCAGGTGCTGAACTATTGTACCTATTTGTCAAATTGTATACGAGAACAGTTCATTTCGCATAGAGAAAGAAACTAAATTTGTTGTCAATCCTCATTTGAATGACTGTTGCTTAGTGGTAAGTGTTGCAATATCCGTCCACTTAATGTGAGTTTGACTTCAATTAATTTGGAATAAAAGTGTTCTTTATGTTTTAAATCCTGCATGCTATGAACATCTTAAATATAAAATCAATTTTTACATACATAACATAACACCATAGATTCGAGTAGTGCCAGCAAAATGAAGGAATATAGTTTCCATCAAAATTTGAAATAATGTCCATGAATTAGATGGAAGAGTGAGTTCGTAGGTGGCACAGGTAACAATTTCACATTTGGATGAATTAAGATATTTATCTTTAGAGGGTGTTGGCAGAGGAGAAATTTTTTAAAATCTGGAAAACAATTATTACTGAAATACAGTGAGAAATAATATGTTTTTCGAAATATTAGTAAAAGGTGTTTGGTATGGTAAAATTTTTCCGGGAATATATGGTTAATTTTACTGAATGTGTATTTGGTTAGTTGTGATATATTAGTGAAAAAGAGATGTTATTTGACGAAATTGACCTCAGGTTAACCTTTTTTTTTTTAAACAAAGCCACAAGATTAATAATCAAAACGTTGGGAGGGTATCCGTTATCCTGAATCTTAACAGTTGCCAATCGTAAAGAACGAAAGAGGATGGAAATTGTCTTCAAATTAATTTTTTAGATCTTCATTCTCTAATTTTTTTTTTCAGGAAACAAAATAATATAGAAATTAAAAAATTATGTCAGAAAAAAATTAAAATGATTTCACTCTACCACCATACCTTCTGAACTCCATTCCGATAAAACCCAGAGCTTCGACGGTGGACTCTTTCTTCCCGCGGAAATGTTATGCAGTCATGGCAAAGTTTCACTTGTCTTTATAAAGAAGTTCGTACTTGCTATTACTTTTTAAGGATAGAAACGTCAAATTTTGTGCTCCTCGTGTTATATTTCCCCGGGATCGACAGAGTTCCAAGTTTTCAATGGACTTTCACAATTGATTTTTGTACTGTAGATACCATATGATAGGATTTGTCGAGAAAGATTTGAACTCTGGGTTTTTTTCATTTTAGACGAACCAAACATGGGATTCATTTACCTGATAGCAAGCTATCCTGGAAAAAAAAAAATCGGGTACCAAACACTCCCTTAAAGTTTGATAAAAACAAAAATTTAATTGTAAAAATTACTGTTACTTCTCTTATTTCAAATGTTATTTAACAAATGATACTGATATTTATATTTTCTGAAAATATCTATGTATTCTTTGTATAATTTGGTTCTGGTAAAAAATGCACAAAAAGATAGATATAATTTTAAAAAAAAAAAAATAGAAGAAGCATATAATTCGGCTTTGGAATTTTATGTTGGGAATGTTAATTGAAAAACTCAATAACCCATTTTTTTTTAATTTATAAGTGACATTTATTTCATAGGGTATACTCTAAATAAGCACCTTTCAAATAACCAGTTCTAAAAAATCGAAGGAAAAACTTCTAGTAATTTTTTGGATACAATATCCTAAGAGCGGGTTATGGAAGGGCGACGAAGAGGAAAAAATATAGAGTGTTGAACTTTACACTAAAAAGGAGCAAGTGTATATCCTAATTGTATGAGTTATAGCTTCTTGCAGCTTTTTTTTTTCTTTCCTCAAGTTAAAAGTTACTTTTAAGCTAAAGTTAAAAAAAAAAATTAAAAATAAAGTTAAAAATTGTTTGATGATTATATAAAAAGTTTAATTTAAAATTTACTTAAAAGCTATTCATTAAAAAAAAAAAAAACTGACACAACTTAAAAAAAAGTTACTCTTAGAAGTTTTTGGCTTCTTCTTTTTCATTATAAAAAAAAGCTCTTTTTATTATAAAAGCTTTTGTGAAAACTTACTTTTGCTTATAATTTTATCTCTTGTAAAAACATTTTTTCCTTCATTTAAACCCTAAACCAAAGTATTTTAATATACATTTAATATTTAATTAATAAGTAGTTATGATGGAATAAAAATAAATAATTTTTTTAGAATGCGATTACACAATTGAACTTGTGAAATAACTAAAGTAGTAAAACTGAAGTGTATAAAAAATAATTTAACTAATAGTGAAAATAAAAAATTTCAATATATTTTTTTCATACATGTAACATTCTGAGTAAGCAATTCAAATTACAAAAATTTAAAATAAAAATTTCTAAAATGTAACATTTCATATAGGCTAAATCTTGATATAGAAATGAAAATTTAATTTTTTATATTAATTGTAAAACAAAATCAAGTATGACTGACCTTCTCAAGACTTATTTCTTTTAATATAATTCAACCCTCAAATACAGATTGATATAGGCATAGCAAAAGAATTATAATCTTAATCTTTCTATTTTTTTTTCTAGGAAGAGCAATTAAATAAACTAACTTAAATACAGTTAAAAAAAAAAGCTAAATTTGAGATTCTTTTACACAATTGTTACGGGACTTCTAAATTTTCAAAGAGTACTGCAGAAATTTCTTTGGTGCTACGGGTGCATCGTAAATTCAGTGCATCTTTCACTCATATTATAACATGTATCTTATTTTTGTCAAATTAATAATAAATAATTTATTTTAAAATTAAGAGAGAGAATGATTTGATATAAAGTAAGACACGTGTCATAATATAAATAAAAGATACACCGAGTTTTCAATGTATCTATAATACCAAAATATTCTCTCGAGTACTGCTGCAGAGCAGGAGTAAACACATCCCTACAATATATATAAGATAGTCATGACTACATCACTTCGGATCCAGTTAAAAAGACTACTGAATGCCTGGTGTTTTCCATATATAATTGACTATATTTGACCAACAATACATTTAACATCAACATATATAAATTAACAAAAATTTAATATGAACATTTTTTTTTTATAAAAATTAAAATACAAAATATTGATATGTATTTTTATAAGATTCATTTTTTCTAAAGTTACTTTAGACAACTTTGTGTAATATTCACCGAAATAACATCGTTTTAGAGCAAAAATCATAGTGTATTTGTAATTTTAATTTATTTCAAAATTATAATAATCTTTATCATTCTAATTTTTTAATTTTTCAACATCAAAACGATATGATTTAGTGAACATTAGATAAAATTATCTGAAGTTACATACATCAGATACTTTTTTCCCATTTTTATAATGCTATAAAAGCAACAAATTAGAGATAATAAACATGACTTTTATTGGATACGCAACAACTGTAACCATGAAGTTGAGGAACATATATAACAAGTTAAGAAAAAAAAATTAAGGAAATATTAACTGATCAAATGTGAAATTGAAACAACCAATTACAGAGAAAAAGCTTTAGAAGGTAGAACAACTTTCAGTCAGCATGTAGATAGTATCGATTATGTAGCAATAAAAACATTATTTAATGGTCAAATTCTCAAGAAAGTAGTCATGCATCGAAACGGGCACCGAAGAATATACCAAATGCCAAGCGATGGAAACATTTCATTTGGAGTATCACCTTACTTAGCAATTGCCATCCAATCGGATGAGCATAGAAAATATACTTACAGAATTAAGAGTGTAAATAGACTAGACTAAATTTTGACTTAAATAAATCAGATCTATGTAAAAAACATTATATCTAACTTGACCTATTAACCTGTATAGACCTCAAATTACAAGTCTAATCTGACCTATATTTAAAAAACAAAAAAATTAGCCCAAGTCTGTTAACTTATTTAATCCTATTAAACATTCAACAATTAAAAGAATAGTTAAAATAATATTACTTCATTATTCAAAATTATTAAAATAATAATTTTATTTATTTTATTTAAAATAAATAATATGATATAAAACCTACATATACAAAAAAAAACTTATGACATGTTTTCTAAATAGATTTTTTCAAAAACCTAGACCCGTTCTATTTTATTATTTATAATAAAGAAGTCAAATTTGACCTAATATAGGCTAGACCGTAAACCCCTGTAAGCCGACTTAACCTATTTACACCCCTGAAATATTAGAGTAAACATAGGACGAGCCGGGTAAATTATGACAAGCAATAATATTCGAATAAAACATTTCATATAACCTGTTTACTTAAAGCAAATCTCATTTTCAGTGTTAGCATCACTCGAATAATGCAATGATGAGAAAACTAAGCTTTGACGAAACTAACATCCGAAAAGCAAATTTGAATAGTCAATACTCCATGAAGTAGAACAGAACTAGGACGAAGAATATAAAACATGTTATTTCTACTTAGATAAATGGTACAAAGAACTAGGGCCAATTTTTCACTAAAATTACCGACAATCAGCATGTTCTTCGGAGGTAAAAACAGTAGCATTGGGGAATGACGAAATTATGATGTCAAATTGCAAGAGACGAAACATCCAATTCCAAATCCAAAGGCAAGAAAGGCTTGGATGGCAAGGACTTTATTTACGACTCCTGGCTTCCTAGTTTTCCTTCTCTCGCTTCCTGTAAAGCCTCTCAAGAACACGCTTCGCTTCACATTGTGGAAAATTTGACAAATCATAGTAATGTGGTGCTATATCAACTAACCTGTTGAATAAAAATTGATCATAAAGTTAAGTACATCTCAATAACATCAACCAAAGAAGAACCACAAGGTTTACAACAATATACTTGACAATCCGTTTCGCAACTCTTCTCCCAGCTAAAATCAAAGACTGGAATTCAAAATGACAAATTGAGTCTATATCTGGGTGCTTCATCACACTCAAAAGTTATTAATTGATGACAGGAATGTTCTTTCACTTGCAAAACCAGGTGTTTCTGGAATTTATAATAGAAAACTATATATTTTACTGATTACCGTTTTTACTGAACACAAGTTCCCCCTTAAATATCATGGATGAAAAGCATTTACAATTATAACATCAATAAAAAATCTTACCATTCCCCGCGTATATCCGTCACAGTACGAATAAAATTTCGACTTGTAAGAACATATTCATTATAGATTACCCACTCGGGTTTGTGGTCCAAGCAATTGGATGGATGCAAGTGCACCACCTATAC